GAAATAAGCTGCTTCCACAGATTAGCCCATGTTAGTACTGAGAAGCGAGATTAAAACTTGTTACTGCTCATGTGTTTTCCATCACTGTTTGTATTGTAGCCAAGACTTCTAGCTAAACTCTAGACGTCTACTGGAAGATTCTGAAGAAAAAAAGAGTGTTTAATAATGCATGGCAACTGAAAATGTGGTCAAAGTCATTCAAGAAATAGCTGATTTTAAAAAATACTTTATGAAATTCTTAAATCAATGAATACTTATAGATTTAAAATTTTTAATTCATTCACCCTATGTAGACCAACAAAATATTTGTCAGTCTTAGTAAAGAGTACCAATATTATTGAAGTATAAACCCAAACTCCAGATGTATCTGAGAAAGGAGCCATGCTATTGTTTTCTTCAGATGACTGAAGTTATATCAAGTATTCTCATGATTTTCTTTAAAAGCTTTTAGCCCTGCCATAAGCATGTCAGGAGAAATGTAGACCAGGCCCCATACAGTGACCCCAGCCCCAGCCTATGTGCTGTGATACAGACATGAACACATAGATCCAGATGATACCTGCTTGGACTTTCCCTTTTTGAGAGAATATCAGCTGTGACTATACAGTTTTTAGGGAGGACTTGGGAGCAGGAAGACATCATTGTCTGAGAAGAAAGGCATTGTTAGCATGCCCTTTCCCACTTACCCCTGAGAGAATGCCCAATTCCCATATCAACTAAGACATCATCCTTCAAGAGAGGACATTTTCCTAAAGCTCATGAGAAAGACTCACAGTGCTAGGTGATACCAATGGGTCTTCCTGGTATGCAGATGTGGGGGTCAGCGTAGTTGCAAAGCACATTTCTAGTCAGCAGAGTCTCTTCTCTCTTCCGTAAAGAATCTGACTGTCCTTTCTTACCTCCTAGAGAAATGGCAGCTACAGCCATAGAGAGAATATTGTGCCTCAGATATGTAGGGTGGCCAGGCCTCACTTAAATAAAATACCCTTACTTGGACCTCAGGTCGGTCAGTTTCATACACTGGCTCCCAAGAGGCTTCAGGCCTGCTCCAGATGCAGCACCTGAAGACTGGCAGTCTTCCTGTTTGGTTAGAATGCTCATGTTCCCATTTATCCAGTTACGTTTAGTTCAAAATGTGTATCTGATACCTTTATGAATTTGGACATTTGGAAAGTTGAACTGGATTTTATTAACCTGAGTTTCATCAGAGCTGTGGCTATATATGGGAAGCTCTTGGGAAAAATCCCGTTTGTCCTATACAATGTTTTGCTTTTTAAATTTTAACTGAAGTATATATATTACAAAAATATAAACACATCGTAATGTTATAGCTCAATTAATTTTCACAAACTAGACCCTGGTCAAGAAATCCCCGCATTCCCAGAGCCCTCCTCAGAATCTCTCTATTCAGAGGCAGCTTGACTTCAAACACTGTAGCTTATTCCTGAACTTTACATAAATGGATCAATCATACAGGGCATTCTCTTTTGTGTCTGGTTTTCTTCATTCAGTGTTATGTTTTTGAGATCCATCTAGGTCATTGTGGTGGTTAGCAATCATTTGTTCATTTTCATTACTGTGTGGTATTCTATTATATGACTATGCCACAAATTATATATTTATATATGATTTTATATATAATTTTATGATATGTACATAGTCAACTGAGTTAATTCCTGTTCAGAGTGCAGCTCTGAATATTCAAACATTCTTTTTGTCTGAGGCTCATGTGTATGTATTTTTAAGTAGAATTGCTGTATTTAAAAATTATGAGGTTTCAAGTTCTCTTGAAAAGTAAAGCTTTGCCATCCTGGTTTTACATGGCCCCACTTGCCTTGGGCTGAGTGATGGCTCCTCCTCTCAGTGAGACATGTGCTTCTTACTCTCTACCTTTGCTTTTGTTCACATAGTTTGTCCACGTCACCCTCCACTCAGTCATGTCTTCTACACAGGCCTTCTAGGTGGGGTTCTACTTCTTTGTCTGGAGAGCTGAGAGGCACTTCCTCTGATGTTGTTTTTCTAAAGGTGTGTTACAGCCTCTTTCTCTTCTCTGCTCTTGTGAACCCAAACTTGTCTTCTACCAATGTCTTGGCTTTGATCTTTGGTCAATGGTCTTGAGGAAAGAAATAGGCCCTGGAGTATAATGCTGGCTTGGAGTGATACATTTGACTTATTCATCCTATTCTGCAGACAGCAAAGCCAGGCATTCAACCCAGTATCCAGACCCCCTCCCATAGTTTTGCGATTAAAGGGTCTGAAGGTCCACCTCACAACTGCAGAGCCGGTCCAGCATGTGCAGACACACCGTTTGGAAAGAAATTGAATTTTTTTCCCCACATCTTTGCAGGTTTTTATTCCAGACGTAGCAGTGTACCTCTTCTTCCCTAAAATAGTGTGAGGAGAAAATCTTTTGTTTTTGGTTCCTGTAGGGGTTCTGTGGAAGGGATCTAATTCTTTTCTGTCTTTGTTTGTTTGTTATTTTTGTTTGGGTTTTGTCTCATCAGGCTTTGGTCTAATATTGGAGAAGTAGTTTTACTATATCAAACAATATCTTTAGGAATCATGAATAACCTGTACATTATTACATGGTAAACAAAAAAAAAATTACAAACTGAAAAAGTAGTAACATTTTATGAACAGAGACATGGATTGCCATAAAAAGTTCTTCAACACAAATTTCTTTCATGGCTCAGTATATTCCAACCATGTAAAAATAAATTGCTTACGACCCTTCTGACCTTCTGCTGTAGAAATGGAGCAGTCAAAGTCCAAACAAATAAAAACTGGAAAGGGCCTTAGAAGTCATTTCATTCAAATTAAGAATACAGGGAGTGAGGATTAGGGGTGACTGTGGCCACATGTGACGCTTTCCTGAGCTCAGGTATCACTCATGTGATTGAGTTTTGTGTTTTACCAGCTAGTATCTGGTGTCTCCTTCCCTCTCTGTCCTCACTTTCTAAGTACAATGAAATGGATTGTATAACAGTCTGTTAGTCTATCTGTTCATTCAATGAATGTTGTTGAGTGCTATAGAGAAAAGCAAGATCAGGAGAGTAGAGGGAGCAGGGAGGGAGTTTAGTCATCAGTGAAGCACTGAGGGATGTGAGGGAGCATGCCTTGCAAATACCTAGTTTAAGAATGTTCTAGGCCATTGAATCCTGGGATATAAATAGCATATGTTCTTTATGTATAACATAGAGTTTGTATATAGTAGGCACTCATAAGACTTCTAAAAGGAGTGGATGGTTATGATTTCATGGGTTCTTTTTTGAATGTTCAGGCGTCCCTCATGGTGGACTAGATTCTGGTTTATAATGAATTGTCTTTATATTGTAGCATAGATCACAACCCACTGGCAGTATTTAGTCTGCAGATGTGTTATGTTTGGAGCATATGGTATTTTTAAATACCAGGAAATTTTATGTCAAAGTTCAAATTTGCAGAATATCTTAAAAAAATCAATCTGACAAAGCCAGCTCTTAATTCCTGTGCAGTTCCAGCAATTGGCTATGCTCATGGTAGCAACCATCTTCAGATGGGCTCCTGGTCTCTGGTTCTTGGCTGTTTTTCCTTCTTCTACCCACTGTGCTGTTGAGGACTCACTTCTGCGACTCAAAGCCTGAGGGACATTTCACTCTGAAAATGAATTAATGCCACAAATTTTCATTTAAAATGAATTAAGTTTAATTTATGAAAAATGAAGAACTTACACAATTTATAATATTGCGCAGGCATCACATATTTTTAATAATGCCTCAAGTCTTACCTTGCAGATTATTTCTTAATTACAAGAGGAAGAAGATACCACCTGAACCAAATTTCTCAGCATCACCAATAACGAGCCAGCACATTTTGTGCCTTGTGATATGATGCAAAAATAAGTATGTGACATCACTTAAGTGAGATTCTTGCCAAAAATGTTTACCTAAATCTAATCGTGAGGAAACAATCAGACAAATGCAGATTAGGGGACATTTTACAGGATAGCTAGCTTGGATCCTTCAACAAAGTAAAGCTATGAAACACTCATATAGGTAGGGAAGTCCTAGTCTGTATTACAAAAGACTAAAGGATCAGGATGTGAACTCTGGTTGGATCTTGAAACATACACACACATACACAGCAATTTAGGACATCGCTGGGACAATTGGGGAAATCTGAATATGGACTCTGTGTTAGGTAATACTTAGTCTTAAATTTCTTGGATTTAATAATGTGAGAGAACGTCATCATTGTCTCAGGGTTATATAAGAAAATATCCCTGTTCTTAGGAGATTCATACAGAAACGACATGTTATAATATCTGCAATTTACATTCAAATGGTCCAGCCCCTTTCATCTGCACATACATGTATATGTATGTATAGATATGGATATGGAAAGAGAGAAAGAGATAAAACGAATTTAACAAAATATTATTATTTGGTGAATGTAGGTGAAGAGTATGCAGTTGTTTATTATATTAGTCTTTCAACTCTTCTGTGGCCTTAAAAATATTACTAAATAAATGGGGGAATAAAAGCTAAATAATTGTGGAAAATAAGGCCATTTGCCTTAATTTTAAGTCTTAAAATTAACTTGTTACATATTTATATATACAGTTTATTTTAAGTAAATTAAGGCATTACCCTGAAAGGGACTCTTCACCTAGGGTACATGAATCCCTAGAAGACATGGGAAAGGATTTATGCATCTTTGCTACATGTAGTGTTTTGCATATATGTATTTTTCTGTATAGAAGATTTTTCTGTATAGAAGATTCATAGCCTTCATAATATCCTCAAAGGGTTCCATGCTTCAAATAGTTAAGAACTACTGCCCTAGAATAGATTTTCATTTTATAATGCATTCTTTATTCTGAATATTGCAATACTAGTTAAATTAGCATTTCAGACAGGTCATGTATAAATTTAACAATTGTGGATGTAATTCCCAACTTATTCAAAACAAATAAACCTTCAGCAGATTCTAATTTATAAAAAGGCTTGCTTGAATCAGCGGATAGTTTAGTGTAAGTTTATTCGACCACAGAGAGTCTGTTACTTAGAAACACACAGTGACATTTTAATAACATGATGTATTTCTTTTCTTTTCCAAACTAATATGTGTTTAGTGCAATCACATGTTATTTTTAATACAATCTGCTTTCTCTTGTGTGGACTCACATTCTTCACATTTTGTGCAAAGGAAAAAATATGCTAGACTGTAAGTTTTTATTTTATCCATGTTCATGTAGAAAGAGAAACATAACTTCAAAGAAGAAAGAGTCACGCCTTTATTTTTTTCGTTGTTTGATCACTAAGCTCTATTTACTGGTTGGAAGCATTCATTTCTTTGCAGATAACTGTGTAACCGAATGTATTTCAGCATGGCTTACAGTCTTAACAGTTCCTTTTCAGCACTTTGAAGCAGAGACCTGAGTAATAGGTTAGAATATGCTGAAGTGTTGTTTAAGACACATAGGATCAAACGTGTGATAACATAGGACTACATTGTTTATGATAGATTTTTAGTTTCTCTGAAAATCTTTTACAAATGCCTCTGGATCTGTTCAATTAGGTTCAATCAGAGCTGGTGTTCACAGGGTAGTAATGAAATAATTATACTCCCTAGGAGAACCGTCTACCCAGAGCACGCTGCACTCAGCTACAGATAGGAAGGCCGAGGCTTTCACACCGACTCTTACTCTATCCCTGTACACCTACGTGTGGGTTATCTCAGAAATAGAAATCTATCTGCAGGACAGGTTTATTGATCAGATACTCTTCCAGTTTGATTGGCCATTTTAATTATGATTTATAATTATGATTTATAAGTAATTACACTTATATGTCAGACTTATTTTTCTTTTCAATAATCAGGATTTTAAAAAAATCTGCTTCTGAACTACTCCCATGTCTATAACAAGAAATAGTTTAGACTCTGAGTCCCAGTTTCACTCTGCGTTTATGGAGCCACTACTCGAGCACATTCTGCTCTAAATTTACTCTGCTCTGTGCCATGGATATGAGCATGCAGTGACACAGAGGAAAGGCAGCCAAAATTGGGAGGACCGCTGACATGGCTGCAGGGTCCCACTGCAGCCTGGCCCTCTATGGAGAGTATTTGTTGATCCCTGTCATAGTGTAATAGGCCCACTCATTTTCTCACTGTATTTCATAATCTAAGGAATTAATTTCCTTGAATAATTAATATCTACCATATTAAGAGGCTTGGCAGCCTTGAGCAAGTCACTGAACCTTCCTGCCTGTGGTTTCCCAGGGCCTGTCCATGAAGGAGTGGATACTCACTTTATCTGACATTAACCCTGTGCCTGGCAATGTAGTGGACATCGCCTCATTTAACCATCCCAGCAGCCCTGGGGGATAGATGTTGTTCCCCCCAGTTTCATGGTTGAGAAACTAGAAATCAGAGTCTAACTTGGCCAAGTCCACAACTAAGAAGGACTCCAGTTCAGAACTACGATACTCGTTCTTGTTTAGCTACAAGAGATGGGCCTCATGTTTCATAGACTTCTAGGGCATAAGGGCCCCCGGAGTCATTTGGCATAAGTTAGAGATGGCCAGAAACTTCTCACTATTTTCATGAGTACTTTTAATATTTTTGAACTTTCAGCTGACCAAGGATCTGAATTCACATTCAACTGTGGACAGATAAATAGTTGTCATTATTAATCTGTAAATACTTCTATGAGGAAATATTCTGTTTTCTAAATAAGGGAAAGTATTGGAATAAATATCATAGGTTTTACCCCACCCTTTGAGGTTTTACTTAAACAGCAGAATTTGAGTATTTTATTCTTTTATGTCAGCATCTATGAAACTAGTAATTCATGGTATGTTTAAATAATGGCTTTGGAAAACATAGTCAATGTTGCTATTATGCAGAACAGTCAGTTGATTCCTAAGTATTACCAGTTGTCAAACCATGACTTTATTGTTTATAAAAAATGCTCTGTGCTTTCTGATGTCCATATTAGGAAATATTAATAAGAAATTATTTCTTATTAATTTTATGACTATATAAATGTTTTTCAGTTCAGTTTTTCACTTTTCCTATGTAAATCCTTAAATTTGCAGATCCTTTTTTGTTTTGTTTAGGATTATTGTCAATATCAACTTTGGATAACTTATGAGCTGATCCAGATTAAATTAAGGGGATCAACAGTCATTTTAGCTCCTACTTTGCCCACAGAATACAGAGATCCAAGAAATGAATTGTCTCTATTCTAAGTTTCACAGTCTTTGGTGGGAAACAAGATACAGCAGGTATATCTCCTAGCTGTTTACCATGCAACGCCCCATATGCAAAGAAATAATCAATACAGATCTAATTCATAGTACCAGATTTATCTGTTGCCAGGGTGGTGGCACACACACTGAAGAGAGGGGTGCTTTCTGAGGAACCAGGAAATAGTCATCTTTGGTTGAACATGCTGGCTGCTCTCAATTTTATATGAGAGTTTGGTAATAGTAAATATACTCATGCATACTGCATTTCCCAGATGCTTTTTATTCTTCTCCAGTTCTCATAACAGCCCTATGAGGTAGGGCTGGAAGGTTTTGAGGGTAGTGAGAGAACTATTAAAAGATTAAATAGCTGAACTTCAAAAAGTAAAATAATCTGCCCAAGTTCCTGGCGTTTTGCAAGACACAAAACTGATAGTAACAAGAGAAGTCAACATAATTTTTATATGTATCTTTTATAAATTATTTTAGAAATATGAAAGATCATTACATAATGAAAATTTTAATATGTGGTTTTGGTAGGGTCTACTATATAGTAAATACTAATAGCTTTATGTTAAATTGAACTGAGGAAAAGGATACACTTGAGCAAATTAGGGTAAATATGATAGGTGCTAAAATTTTTCAAAAATTCATTAGGTTTACATTTACAAGGGTACAGTTAAGGATAATTAACTTATATATTAAACAAGCTCCACTGCTTTCCATAAAATCTTTTGATCTCGAGTAAAGTATAACAAGGGTGATCCTAATATATTCTAACACTTTTTGGACTTACAGAAAAGTTTAAAAAATAGTATGGAATTCACATATACCCTTCTCCCAGCTTCCCCTAATGTTTATAACCATATAAATAACCATAGAACAATTCTCAAAACCAGGAAATTAACATTACAATAGTATTTTAATTTCACAGATGTAATTAATAAGGAACTAAATAACGCCGACCCCAATAATTAAGTGTATTTATACCAATGATTGTAGCATAAGGTCTTAAAGAAAATAAATTTTTGTTTTAACTGTAGAATAATAAACAGAACACTTATTCATAAATTCTACCTGTTGTTCTTTACTGCCCTTCACTTCTTGGTCTTGAACCATAACATACATAATTTTTAAATGGACTTGGGGATTTTCCAGCTAATAGCAGTACTCACAGGCCTATATATTGTAAAAGACATGCTTATTTTGTTACAGATTCTCCCTGTCTAGCCCAGCAGTGCATAATATCCTAGTCCCATGAGAAAAACTTTGCCAAGAGATGGCTTCTTTCTAGAGTGTGAAAATGAAACTTCATTAAAGTGCTAGAAGACGAAACCTTCTGGATATATTTTTGGTTGTTCATCTGTGATTGGTGAATCAGATAAACTAGCATAATGATACTGAGTATAACATGATATGCAGTCTCTCTTATTGATGACAAATGTTACTACAACAAATATATGAGTACAGTTTATAAATGACAAAGGAAAAAGTGGAATTACTTGATACCCTGTGGTTTAAGAACAATACTTGAATATGATCTTATGCATGAAAATGCATAGGATGATATTTCTCTTGTTTTAATATAATTATTTTCAAGATGAAGGTGTTCCAGTGTTGAATCACCATCTTCTTCCGGATTGCAAATTTGTTCTGGAAGAATATTCCTAAGGAAAAATAGACATGAAAATCACAAATGGTCCAAGTAATATTCTTACTTTATAATTTAGAAATTTTATATTTGTTTTAAAAATTTTCTTGTTCTTAAATAAAAATGGATTTCTTTTTTGTATTATATACCAGAAAAAGTTCCAAATACATAACAGATCTAAATGTGAAAAAATATTAGAATAGAGAAAGCACAGTCATACCCTGAAAGTAGAGAAAATCTTCCTATTTGTGATCCAAAAACTAGAAGCATTTAAAGAATAGATTAATAAATTGACTACAGGGTTTAAAAAATGCAAAATTAAAAGACAAATGGCAAACTAGGAGAAAGTTTTTGCAACTTATAACAAATATAGGGCTAATATATAAGGACCTCCTAAAAATCTAGGAAGAAAAGGGAAGAGAAAATAAGAATAACTGGGTAACCAGTTCACAACAGGGAGCCTAAATGTGTTTGGAATTTCAGAGATAGGGAAAAGAGTAAGGATGTAATCCTCAGGGAAGAGTCCACAGAGCTCAGTGATCTGCCTCTCTTGCTGATATGCACTAACACAGTGTTCCACGTTAATTCTTGAGGCACTCATGCTCTCTGGGCAGACGGAACACATGCAGAAAAGTGTGTCTCCCGAAGTGAAGGAAGCTGAATATCAATAAATTTATTTAGAACTTGTCCTTCAGAAGACTCTAGATAGAATTAATTTTCATTTTAGCATATATTTAGATTTTATGCTCTACAGGTTAGAGTGTTTATATTATTATGTGTGAAGGTGAGAGCAGCACCATAATCTAGCCTTGATACCTCATTTCAACCTGTTAAGGTTCTAAGTATTATATAACAATACACTATTTAAAAAATATTTTACTATGAAAGTTTGCAAACATGGTACAAAAGTAGAAAAAATATAATGAATCCTTCTGTAACTTTTATCATCTGGCTTCAGTAATTATTATTATTTGCCAATCTTGTTTAGTGCAACTAAAGTGTTACTTTTTTCATTAGAGTAAATCCTGGACAACATGTCATGGTTGTTTAATCATATATTTTGTCATTTGCAACAATTTAAATAGATACTTGAAAAAGCTAGAATTTACCGTATCTTGTTGTTGTTCAACCTCAGAAAATGCAGTGCTTTCATTTCTTGTATCCCAGGTGGTATAGATTTTAAGTCATTGTGATCCAGAAACAGCTCTCTCAGAGAATGATAAGCCCCATAGAAGGAGACTCGGTCCACACTATCATCGGAGAGTTTGTTAAATGACAGATACAGGTATTCCAGGCCTGGCTTCATGTGGCCAAACACGTAGCCAGGAATGCGCTCAATCCTGTTCCCGAGGAGCACAAGGTGCAGTAGTGACTTGGGGAGGTAGGAGGGGACCTGATAGAGCTTGTTGTAGGAGAGGTCGATTGATTCTAGATTTCTATAGCAAAGAAAAGAGTAAACAGGGTAGAACATCAGGGCAGTGACTATGAGCTCTAGGTTTTGACGAGGCCAGTCAGCATGCTTATTGGTTCTCCTGCCAGCATTCAGTGTGCAGTAATGATTCCTAGTGTGACAGTGGCTGTAGGACAGCTGTTCAAGCTACATCAGAGAGGAGTACCAGAATTCAGAGAGGAAAAAAACTCATATCCCAGGGGTAATGGTGAGGCCCAAAGAGGTCTCCAAATATCTCTAAGTTCAAATTTGAATCAGAAATGAAATTCAGGAGTCCCAGCCAACATCAAACTGCCTATCCCTAAAATCTTCTCCGGCTCCAGCAAGGAAGTAGCAGTGTTATGGAGTTTTTGTATTCTTATTCCACATTTGATCTGACATGACATCTGGGACTTGGAGTGAGACTGAGGGATCTAGAAAAGATTGTTCACTGGCCAGAAAATCCGGGAAATGTGAGCTACCTGGCTGGTTTCAGGATGTTCACTTGTAGCCTCTGCTTGCCTATGAAAACTTTGCACCTGATGAAGATTTAATCACCTGCTGCTGCCATATCATGCTGAACCCATTTGGCCCTCGAGGCTTCTTTTCATCTCTCTCCACTCTGCTTCTGAAAGACACCTTTTCCTGGGCTATGCTAGTCAGATCCCTTGTTCCCTTGCCACATGCTGGACCTGCTGACAGGGCTCAAGCCAGCTTCCCTACATGGCTCATCCTTCTCCTTATGGTGGGCAAGGCCCCCACATTGGCCCCTTCTCTGAGGACTACAGCCTGGGACCACTGATTCTTCTCCAGGAAGATAGTCTCTGCTGTCTGCCTCGGCTATCAGGCCAAGCATTTTCCAGTCTATTTTGTAAGACTTGAGTTAGAGAAATAGTTTGGAGGAATGAAGACAGTGTGCTGTAGGACAGAGAAGCCTGGTGCTTCTGCCTAAGCGAGGAGACGAAAAAGGGCAGTTTCCTTCCTCACTCTGTGCAGAGAGTTATCTCAGACTTCACAACTGCCCTATGAGGTCAACAGCAAGAGTGACGTGATCAGACCTCAGGTCACACTGCTCAGGTTCAGTTGTGGCTGGCTCAGCACTTGTATGTGGTAAGGTGTCCATAGCAGCAATCACCATGGTCATTCTAACACTGGTTACATCATGAACGATTTGAACTGCATGAAAGTGGCTAAGTTTTAGGGAGTGAGAGGTTCACTAAGAAAGGATGCTGCCACCTCCCTCAACACCCCCATGTTCATACCCTGTTTAATAATGGCAAAAGGAAGAAACTAAGAAAGTCATATTGTAGCATATTACTTACTCTTGATTTATCCAGGCTAAAGGAGCAATCCTGTTTTCTTCAATTTTGTTATAACATAGTACAATGACATTGATATTTCTGGTATGATTGAAACAAATTTCAGTTATTTCTTCAATTTGATTGTTTTCTAGGTACAATTCCTATAATTAAGAGAAAAGACTATTACTTTTTTCTTCATGTTAGTCAAATATATTCAGTTCCATAGAAATTAAAATAGTATTATAGACTTCTCATTAGTATTATCTAAAGAGTCTTTTACTGCTCTTCCAAGTGAGTTCATTTTTTAAGCTGTCAAATTTTCTAATTGGAAAAAAAATGTATCTGTTATGGTTCTGGAATTAAATGAATTTTATTTAATTATTTTTAACCGTAAAATGTTGCAAGATATAGCATGCCATAAAATTGTATAAAGCTTTCTAATTTATAAAACTTAGTCACATAAATTATCTCATTCGGGCTTTAAACCCCTAGAAAAAAGGTAGAAATTATAATCCCCATTTAGCAGTGGAGAAATGAGGAGTTGTGCCCAAGGTTACACAGCTAACATATGAGGAAAACTAATCCTAGCTGGTCCCCATCAGTCCGTGTTGTCTGTAATTTTTTTAGGCTCCCACTGTTTAGAATATCTCATATTGTAATTAATTAACTAAAAGTTAATTAAGAGCACTGATTTAACATCAGGGTAAAGTTTACTAGAACTAGAAGTTTTCAACAGCTAGCTGCTTTCAAATTAAATTCAGTTGATATTAGAGTTTTTCACTCAAGGATCTTGTTGGAATTCACAAGTAGAATTGGTATATATCTTCAATGTAACTTTCTGTTCCTTTGTAGTAATTTTCCCCTTTTTGTCCCTTAATTTTTGTATTTGTTCAAAATGGGTAAAGAGATTTTTTGCTTTCTTGCTTTTATTTTCATATGTACTTAGGGGTAAACTAGATCAGTGGTTCCCAAACTTGGTAGTATATTAGAACCACCTGTAAGCTTTTTAAAGTGTAAATTCCAACATAGATATACCTCAGTCAAAGCACACTTATCCATACATTGAAATTGTGCAGCTCCGAAGCAGTGCCTTGGATAGATTAGGAGCACACACACCTGTGTGAACAGTACTTCTCACACTCCTGACAGGTCCTTTGAAAAGAAACCAAGGACAGGAGGGTCAAATGGAAACACTGCTCTTTGTATTATTCAAGAGAGAGAGGGCTGTGCGTGCGCGCGCGCGCGCGCGCGTGTGTGTGTGTGTGTTACTGTGTGCATACATATTGAAAATTTTTAGAAAAATTATAAATTGCCAACTTCACCCTACAAAGAACCTAATTTAGCATGTCTGGGATAGTTCTGGGAGTCTGTATTTCTTTAGAATTCAAGTGATTGTTATATATAGCCAAGTATTGGAACCTCAGTCTTTACTGTTTTGGTAAGTTCTAAAGTTATATCTTTTTCTGCAACTAGGAGGAGGAGGAAGGATGGTGGGTCTGGCAGCAGCAGCAGATAGAGTTCAGTGGCCCCCTCTTGGTTCACTGTGTCCATAGCTGTGGGAAACTTTGTTCTTCCTTCTTGCTGGTGACTGTGTGTGTGTGTCTGTGTATGTATGGCAGGGGCTGGGGTGGCGAGGAGGTGGCCCGTGTTTCAGCTGGGTCTACCAGACCTCCGTGTTCTTAATGCAAGAAGTTGTGGTGTGCAGTCAAAAGCAAAGGCCACCAGGTATTTTCCCTTTTAGTTGTGTTCCTTGCTGCACCAAAGGAGACCACATGGCTGGGCAGCAGGGGCATCTCCAGAAGGGGTGGAAACAGAACAGCACTTGGGCAGTTGGTAGGAGCTGGTCAGAACTGGTAAGTTATGGGGAGGGGGACCTGCAGGCACAGTCAGCAGTCTTCTCTGTAGGTTGTGTTCGTCCACTCAGGGTCACTGCTAGTCCATGTGGGACTCTGGGTGGAGCATTTTGAGATGAATGTCACAATTCCTGTTTGGGACAGTAAACTGTCTTGCAAGTCAGGATATCTTTTGCAAGTTGTAGTTTCTGTTTACCTTTTCAGTTCATCTTCCCCAGTCTCTTCCCAAGAGCTGTCAGCAGGACCATATATTACTTTATCGAGTTATAATTTAGTTTCATAGTTATAATTTTGATTCATAATTTTATATTATTTGAAGAAAAAACTGTTCAAATTATGGTATATTCGATATATAGCATCAAAATTACTGAGTTTAATATGCACCACAATAATTTCTTAAAATATATTGTTTTTTATTGTTGTTGTTGCTTACTATATTTAAAATATAAAGCATTAGAAGAAAGATATTGGTACCTCAATAGAAGCAGGAAGACCCTGTGGTATAATTCTAAATTTATTTCTTCCTAGACGCAGGTAGGATAGGCTCTTCAAAGGTTGAAAAGCCAAAGGATTGACATTGGTTTCACTGAGATCATTTCCTTCCAATTCTAAGGTGACCAATTGACTTAAGTCTATAAAAAAAAAAAAAAAAAAAAATTATCAGGATATTAAGATAATTAGAAAACCACGTGATTTCTATAACCTTATAAAATGTCCTTGAAATGTTTAGTTTATTTGGAGGGCAGATGTTGTAGCTTCTTTTTTTGCATTTCCCTGTAGAACCTTTACTCAAGTACTTTGTACATCCCAAATGTTCAGTTCAGCTAAGGCTGAATGCTGAATGCCATGGGGTCCAGTGGAGAGGCAGGCCTGTAGAGAAAATATGCACTATAAGGAACTGGGGGATTGGGGGTTAAGAGAATTGGGGTGCCCCACAGAGGCAGTGATGAGCAAGAAGTAAAAGGTTGTAAAAGATCATTTGTCGCATTTGCAAAGACAGGTAGGTTGAAATGGCAACATAATTGGGGATGAAGAAAGAAAAAATGCAATGGGTTTCCCTTTCCAGGACAAAGAAGGAACACTCTGCCTGGCAAACCCTCCGTCTCTGAACACAGGAGTTGCAGCAGTGAATTCCCATCACCGTTGTTCACTTTCTGGCAGAGAATGCAGCCAAATGGACATTTTGAAAAGAAAATTTAAAAACTTTCTATGCATTCAAATCGAGCTACCAAGAAAGGCCTTAATACAAACAAGTGTTTTTCTAAATTATTTCTACTGGCCTCAGGAATGTAATGATCCAAATTAATTGGAAGCTTAAAGAAGAATGGACAGCTCAGCAGTGATGATTCCCAGAGGCTTCTGAGTCAGATATTCAGGGTGTAACTTTGGAGTTTGTTCAGTGGCCAAGATTTTTAGAATAGGGGATGTTTTCATATTTAGCTCAAGTCACGGAGAAGCATTGCTCTGAACGCTCTGTGCAACTTAGTTCCTACTCTTAGGCCTATCAGAGAAGCAAAACAGTACTCTCAGGAGTACGGATCATAGACTCTAGAAGATGAAACAGAGGAGACAGCAGGGTAGACTTGACTGAAATGGAA